AGTAACGATTTTAACGCAATTTTAGCATTGATTTTGAGTTTTCATCAACACACCTACAAAGTAGTGTTTATTGTTTTTGTAATGTCACCCTCATTGAAAAGTCAAATTATTATTGTTTATTGGCGTTGGCTCTAGTAGAGATGGTTTTAAATTCTAAAGTATCCGCTGTTGCTGCTTTAATTGATCATGGCAGAGATCAACTTTTGGACTTAAAACCATATCTGCTAGAGTAACTGCCCAACAGACAATAATAATATTATTTGTCCACGACCACTTAATAATAAATCAATATTCTACTTCCTACCTGAAGGAATATGGTGTCCACTCAACAAGCAAAATTTATTGCTGGAACATTGCCAAAACTTTGCAAAGCAAGGTGTAACATTGCTTTTTTTATTGTAGGGAGGTTTATGCAAGGTGGCAGGTTAGCTTAATCTTCCGCCAAATAACATTGCAGTGCAACGTTGAAAAAAATGTTGATGCAAGTTTATTGAAACCTTGTCACAACCTCGTGAGAAGATTTCACAATATTATTGAAACGTTCAAGAAAGTACTAATTTGAGATTTATTAGCAATATTGTTAATTTTACGTCAATACAATATTGGTAAAATTAAATTGTACCTATGTTTCAAAACTTATTGTCCATTAAACTTTCTATTTTGTTATAACTTATTAACTGACTTATTGCCAAAACAATATAGCAAAAAATAGATAATGTTCGCAATAAAAAACCATTTCATTCCATAGAAATGATTTTTTAATATTTACTTATCAATTAATGAAAAAGTTTTTTCTTACGAACATTAGCAATTTTATGTTAACAATAATACATTACATACATACTACCTAGTGTTTTTTTGATAAAACTCACCGATTTGAAATTAAAAACTAAAATGTAAAGCATTACATGTCAGTACAAAAAACATTTTTAGATTAAGAATCTAGTGATAACAACGATAATAATAATCATCTAGATAATAACGTATTGCAGTAGAGTAATGTCAAATAAAATAATATTAGGAACATCCTAAAAAGTAACAGCGGCCGACTAGATTTTTTCCTAAAAAAATTACAGCAGCCCACTAGATTCTTTATCAGAAAATGTTTTTTGTCTGACATGTAATACTTTACATTTTATTTTTAATTTCAAATCAGTGATTTTGTCAAAAAATACAAAAATAAAGTTTTCTAAACAAACTAAACCATCCAAATTAATTTTTTTTTTTGCATGTGTTTGATAAGATTTTTCTTTAAATTTCGTTAACAAGAATGATAGGGGTAGTTTATTTCAACCCCTTCCACTCATTTTAAAAAAGTGAAAAAATTACCAGAAAGTGTGTTTTCATAACAGTAATGCTTCCATAAAATTTCATTAGTCTCTTTTCGTTTTCAAGATAAAAAATAAAAACATTATTTTTCCGCCATCTTTGTACCGCGATATCTCCCTAATGGTTGACTTTTGACCCAACGTTTATGAAGCAAACTACCCTTTATTTTAAACAAGAAATCACCCCCTGAAGTTTTTCGCATTCGTTTTGAAACACCCTGTATAGCTACAGTATAAACATTATTATATATTTCTTATTCAAATATACAAAAGGAAAGTATAACATTAAATCTCGATAACTTTTTTCGATAACTTTAGTTACACAAGACAACAAAAAGGCTGCTGGTGGTACGATCTATCATTTTTCAACATATTTATTTTACTAAAGGTGGTAGTAAAAAGTACTAACATACAGGTATGTCGTAAAAGACATCTAATAATAATCTTCCAAAATATTTGAAAATAAAATATTATAGTTCGAGATGACTGCGACTCTCGATGCATAGCAACTGATGATATTGACAAATTTTAAGTAGGTAGTAACATTTTCCTCTAAAACATGAATACGATAATTAATAGTAAGATTAACATTAAAAATACAAATTCAAATACTCCTCATAATTATTATAATGGCCGTGGACAAAGTATAGTATTCAACTTTAAAGTTTTACGTAATTATTGGTCAGTTCAAATAATTTAAATAATTTTTGAATATTTTAAAATGAAAAAAGTATATTAAAAAATTAAATTCTTTTAAGAAAGTTGAAGATTTATTAAAACTTCATTCATAATTTCAATAATTTTAATTTAACAATGAAATTATACGTTAGCCATTGAAAGAATATTGCAGAGGTTAATTAATCAACTAAAGTCAATCAACTATAATTAATTAATTTCATTGTTTACAACAGGAGTGTCCAATCTCTTTGTTGGCTTTAGTTTCCATCATCTCAACTAAATAATAAAAGCCTGAGTTGGATATACAGGGTGTCCCATTTTGTTGAAATCATACCGTATCTCCGTTATTAATCAAGATAGAAGATTACAGTTGAGGGTTGGAACCTTTGATTACACAGCAAATAAAAACACTAAATCACCACAATACACCAAAACACTTTTACTTTTACACTGGACGCGCGTTTCGCTAACCTTGTTAGCATCATCAGCAGATGATTATAAACTAAAGTACAATCTACAAGTTGAGCGTTTATATACTCGCTCAGTGGGCACCGAGTGGGCGTGGCAAAATCTAGCCAACCGAGTGAGAGCCAACTGAGCGTAACAGTTAGATTTCCGCCACTAGAGTAGTAGGAACAAAGAACTTGAAGGAATTGGACCGTTGACTCTGTTCATACTATCTTTACATTTATTAATTCTGATGCTTTCATATGCATTAATTGCCTGTAATTTGAGACTTGTTTAAGTAATTTTAAGTTATTAAGATTTATACAATGTTCTTTATCAACAATATGTTCGGCAACGCAAGGTTTATCAGGTCTACCATATCTTATCTGAGCTAAATGTTCTTTAAATCTAGTTAATATTGATCTTCTAGTTTGCCCAACATATTTTTGATTACAATCTTTACAAGAAATTTCATAATTAGATTAGCACTATACACAAGTTTATAATTGACATTCTTAAAAACTCCTTCTAGACCACGGGATAACTGTCTAACAAACGGTATTGAAAAAAATTTTGACGTATCTTTCTCCACTTGAAAAGTCGAATTTTCAAAAATCATTAACCTATACCTACGTTTTCTAATTATTTTATCTACTAGTGAAGGAGAATATCCATTACACTCAGCTACATTCCTAATGTAATCTCTTTCTATTTCATATCTTTCGTTGGAAAGTGGAAAACTAAGTAATCTATGAACTAAAAAATTTAAACTAGCCATTTTATGTTCAATACTATGATATGATTCATTAGGAATATATCTGCGTGTAGTGGTATTTTTCCTATAGATATCAAATTCCAGGCAATTATTAGTATTTCTAATAACTAATACATCTAGAAATGGTAATCTGTCGTTGTTGTCAATTTCATGTGTAAATTTAATGGAAGGAAAACGATTATTTAACTTAGAAATAAAATTATCTATGGTGTCTGAATGTTTGTTAAAAACAGCAAAAATATCATCCACATACCTAAACCATACTCTTGTAAAATACTCAAACTGATTCTTAGCCACCACTTCAAACCTGCTCATGAATAAATTAGCCAAAAATGGAGACAATGGATTACCCATTGCTGTACCTTCCCGCTGTTCAAAGAAGTTGTTATTAAATTGAAAACAATTTTGTTTCATACATAACGATGTAAGCTCAATATATTCAGTCACAGTTTTGTTGTCGAGACCATTTGCGTTCAGTAATTCTTTAAGTAGCCTAAAGTATGTGGAATTGGAACATAAGGTATACAAGATAGAAGCTTTGTTAGAGGGTTGCGGTTTGCACCCAAAAATTTTTATTTAGGACTGAAATTTAGAAGTACATTTAAGGTTTACACCCTTTTGCACAGATAAAACTGCCAGGTAAAATGGCAACTGTAGCAGGTTGGGGTCGTACGAGACACGGTCAAGCCACGGTACCTTCAACCCTCCAAGAAGTCGACGTGGAGGTGATTCCAAATGAGAGATGTCAAAAGTGGTTCAGATCGGCCGGCCGGCGCGAAATCATACACGATGTATTTTTATGTGCGGGCTATAAAGAGGTATTATTTACTATACAGAGTGGTCGAAATTAGTTTTAACAGAGGAAACCTATTTCCTGACTAGATAGAGTAAAACTGACGTAGATGTCATGGGCTCGATTTCTGACATACTTTTAATGGCGTAAACCGCTTGTTGATATTTTCACCATATTTTCACTGCCAACAGAGATACTTTGAAGTTTTCTGAATCTTGATTTTTTTTTCTTTCTGAACTTTGAATTTTTTACCATTTTGAAAATTGCCTATAACTTTTTTATTTCGCGGAATAATAAAATTCTGTCAAAACGTTGTTGAGGCAGTTTTTTAAGCACAAGCCAGTGGCGTAGTCAGTTTTTTCTATGCTTGCCCTTTTTGTCAGAAATAATAAAAAATATAATTTTTTAAATGGAAATCGTAGTTGGCTATGAACTTAAAAAAATGCTGGCGCTTAACCCTTTCCAACGATATAAAGTTATGGGTATCTATTTCTAAGAATGAGAGAAATATCGAAGCGGGCTTTGATTTCGAATTGACCTATTTGTTTAATTATTTTTTATCACAATTTAATATTCTATATTATTATTTATCTGCACAATTAAAGACTTTTGGAAAAGTAAATTAACATTCTATTATTATTAGTAATAGTAATTATTAGTATTAGTAATTACAACTGAAATCGATACAATAAACAAAGAACAAAACTAATAAAACGTATTTTTTGAGTGACGAATATAGTTTTCTAAGAAAATCAAAGATGTTCGAATTGAGTACCTCCTTGTTGAATACACAATAAACATCTTTTGCGCACAGAGTTACGACGATTTATTAGGCGAACTGGTGTAATAAGTCCAAAAGCTTGCCTAATAGCCTTCTGCAATTCTTCTCTTGCCCCAATGGCTCTTCCCTTATAATATATAAGATCTTTTATAATGTCCCCCATAAAAAAGTCGAAAGGAGTTAAATCACAGGACCTAGGAGGCCAAGATATGGGTCCCTTGTTCCAACCCAATTCTCTCTAAATTATCCATTTAATAGTTCATTTGTAACCCTATCGTTTTAATTGTAATTGGTAATACTAATATAGAAATGTTGATTTACCTTTTCAAAAGTTTTTCATTATGCAGATAAATAATAATATAGAATATTAAATTGTGATAAAAATAATTAGGCAACTACACAAAATCAAGGCCCGCTTCGATACAAAGATAAAAAATCTAATATTTCTCTCATTCTTAGAATTAAATACACATAACTTTATATCGTTGGAAAGGGTTAAACGCCAGCATTTTTTTCAGTTCATAGCCAACTATGATTTCTATTTAAAAAATTATATTTTTTATTATTTCTGACAAAAGAGCATGTATAGAAAAAAACTGACTACACCACTGGATTGTGCTTAAAAAATTGCCTTAAGAACGTTTTTACAGAATTTTATAATTCCACGAAATACAAAAGTTATGGGCAATTTTCCAAATGGTAAAAAATTGAAAAAGACCCCGTATCTCAGTTGGCAGTGAAAATATCAACAGGCGGTTTACGCCATTAAACTTGTCTCAGAAATCGAGCCCATGACATCTATGTCGGTTTTGCACTATCTAGTCAGGAAATAGGGTTTCTCTGTTAAAACAGACCCATTTCGACCACCCTGTACATAAAGTTGTAAAAAACTACTAAATACAGGAATGAAAGCACCTATAAATGTTCATATCAAATAACCTTTCAGTCACGTGATTATGCCGACCTAAAAAAATTTCAGGAAACAAAATTAAATTAATAAGAAATATATAAGCAATTATTATTTAAATCAACAAAACGCACCTTTTTAGCATCACTTAAGGGACATAAAGGGCCATTACTACCGCTTTCCCTTTGAAAATACTCTAATAAAGTTGCAATGAGTTTTTTACGGCTATTAAGCTATCTTGTAATTTAATTTGCGCAATTTGCACAAATGTCAGCTGTTTAATGATTCTGCTGACTATTTTACTGTATTTATTTTACTGCTTGTATTGTCAATTTTAGTCTTTTTTATGCATCTTTAGTGTTTTTATTGTTTCATTTATTGTTTTTGCTATCTGTTTTACTATTCTGTCTCGATTTTTACGAGTAGTGGTTAAATCTGACAACAAAAACAGTAAAACAGATAAATAAAAAAGATAAATAACAGATTGGGGCAATTTTATTCTCTATCTTATATCCACCATCCTTAGGGTTGACATTAAATGAACATACAGAGAGGGTATCGTTAGGATCTTAGACAAGGAAAGAGAGGGGACGGGCAACACCCATATTCTCCCATGATCGGTTAGTGACGCCAAAATTCGATCGGCGGCCATACTTTGGTGACAAGATTTCGAGGTGACACCGAGCGAATTTTTATGTTTTTTGTGACAACTGTTTTGTTTTAAATTTATAAACTGTGTTTAGTACGGTGAGATGGTCAGCGTATGGCTGCAAAGGCCGAGGCGAGAAAAAAGTGGCTGGAATTACATTTCACAGGTAAAAATCGATACAGAACTTTTGTTATGTGGTCATAAAATGTACATTTTTTTCATTATAGCAGTAAAAATATGTAAAATGCTTTTAATATGTCTTGTACCACATCCAAACCAAACTATTTTTAATAATTCCAAGTAGTATTTTCAATATCCTGTATTATAATTAATGTTTGAAACTATAAATATTGCTACTCAGACAGGATTTCACCAGTGGCGTAGAATTATAATCAGAAGCCACAATTTCCACCAATAAACATTTTTTTATATATTTTACATGTAAAAAATGTATAAATATTGTTATCAAATACGTAAAATAATTGTAAACTATAAAAAAATTAAAAATTCTAGTGATAAAAAAATCTATATATGGTTGTTATATAAAACTTAAATTTACCTGCCAAGATTTGCTGGGGGTAGACAAACTTGTGGTGGGCTACTTGTTACTACATATATTTGTTTAAATATTCTGACAAAAAATTTGCTAATTTAGGTGTATACTAATAGTTTCAGTGAGTAATTAATAAAAATTTAAAAATAAATAAAATAGCACAAAGCTTCTAGAATTGTTTATTTTTTGTGGAAAATTAGGATATTCTTATGATTGAAGGTAACAAATATTAAAAATTACACTATTCATTGAATCCGTACGTCGTACGCAAGTGTGAAGGGGAATGGCTAGATTCACTATTATACCGTATGGTCGAAAAAACGACGTCCAGTTGGTTTGTAAATGACGATCGACATTCCCCCATATAATTTTACATATAAAATGACAGCGATCTTCATTTCATAATATCATGACGCCGTCTTTTCGATGTCGTTTTGTATAGTTTTATGTCATTTATAGTAGAGATTATATGGGGAATATCATCGATCGTAATTTACCCAAGTTTTTAAGCCAGCTGGACGTCGTTTTTTTTTCGATTATACGGTATAATAATGAATCTAGTCAATTCACTTCACATATGAACTCAATGAATGTGAAAAATTTTAATATTCATTTAATGAAGTGTCATTTCCAAACAAGCAAGACGCCGTTTTTCACGATCATACGGTATATATTTATTGCAATTTATTACATGTTTAAAACATATGTTATTACATTATTTTTTATTTAATTATACATTATACACTCGTTAATAAATAAATAATTGTCTTGATAATCAGTCCACTGTGACTGTTAAATAAATTTTGCATTATCGACTTAGATATTCTAATATTATAATGGTGAGACTATAAAATACAAAACTGTATATGCATTACTCAAAAATGAACGATATATTAGTTTACGTTTTAATAAATATTTTGTACCGTCTAGGTACAAGCTAATTTCTGATGCTACGCCATTGGAGAATTTCGCGTGGTGACAACTTGCCTCACTTCAGCTGCCGTGTTACCTGTCCCCTCTCTTTCCTTGTCTAAGGTTAGGATCAAGCGTAATGTTAGTTGCATTCCCTGTAATGTCAGTATTCACTAAATCAATAAAATTGAATGGTTTCCTTTAGATATTTTTCTTGACAAAATGGCGAATTATTTTTTTTTAATAAATTATTTTAATCATGTATTACTTTTTTTCTTTAGGGTGGCAGAGATAGCTGTCAAGGCGACTCGGGAGGGCCCTTAACCCTTTCAGTGGATGGAAGAAAAACCCTTATAGGACTGGTATCCTGGGGAATAGGCTGTGGAAGGGAAAAACTACCGGGAGTGTACACGAATATTCAAAAATTCGTTCCTTGGATTGACAAAGTTATGCAACCTTAAAAACACCAGCAACCAGTGATGACCGAAAATGTTTATTTAAGAATTAAATAATGTCAGTGTCAAACCAAAACAAACAAATGGACCCATTTTCGTTATGACAGCTGGATTAAAAGATTTAATAACTTCATAGAAAAGTTTAATTTTTTATACAGGTTGATTCGGGGTAAGACATTTGTGGCTAACCGGTGACATATTTTATTGAAAATTTGGATTCTTATATACGTATACATATTATAGGGTGCTAAAATTCGAGGTACGAGCATTGGTATCTCGTAACCGTAATAGGAAATACGAACATGATTAAATTGAGGCAAAGTTGCGCTTTAGGATGTTCACCAAGATGCCATCAAAAAGTTTTAAAAATTTCCAAGGATTGCTGGCAGGTTTTTGGAAAAAACGGATTTTTTTGAAAATCAATTTTATTTTAAAATGTTAATTGCAGTTACTTTTTAGAAAATCAAAAACTAATTGCACATTCTCATAGCCACTTTATTAGAGCTATCACCAGTAATTTTAGATTTTCAAATTAGCTGATAATTTGTGAGATACAGAGAGCAAACTTATTTTTTTTAAATACGGACCTGCATTTTTTATTTCAGGTTTTGGAAGAACTTGGTCTCCTGAGTACAATGATATGCCACACTTGATACTTTTTTTTGTTTTGGGTACCTTAACAGTAACAAAACTATTTAACTGTCATTTAAAATAATATGAAGTCCGACTCTGGTTTTTTGTCTTTCTTCATATAAAATAAAAAAGTCTTAATACTTTTTAAATGAGACGGCAACACCGTAATTCTGAAAATAATAATTTATATTGATGGAACATGAATTCAAGTTAATAAAAAAATCTTACCATCCATTTCCCATGAATGTCTAACCTACCAACACCATGAATCACCCTGTATATAGTATCAGATGTCAGACATACCGTCAAAAGAAAATTTTGAATTTATTTTTAACTAATTATTTATTTGCTACTTCATCTTGTTTTTGATGTTATGGTTCGAAAGTTCATAAATTATCATACAGGGTGTTCTAATATTCCGTGGACATAGAACTATTACGTATTTTTCGAAGCAGAATAAAGTGCTTTGTTTGTCTAATTATTCTACAAGCAAACATTAAAAATAATAGAAAGTATAATTTTTGACACTAAATCAATCTCATTTTTATATGTATGTCTATAAATATCAATTTATTTAAAAATAAAAACAAAGTTTATAATAGAGGACAGTGCCAATGACTACCGTGTCTCAACATGGATTTGTTTATAAATATAAATATAAATAATTTTAACATAATATAAACAAAGCTCTGATTTATTATTTAAACAATTTTAATAATTATATTAACTAGACCAAATATATTGAATAGCAACGTATAAAGAACTATACAATATGTAAATCTGTATCAGATAGCACATAATCTTTTTTTTGTACATGATTGTATTTGTTATATTTCTATTTATTTTGTATGAGTAAAGTAATATAAGATTTATTTTGTAAAAAAATACTGAACTTTATTTCACACTTTTATTAGAACCTTATTCGTAAAGCCTCGTCTACACTTAACGTTTTACCTGTCAGCCTTGCCTGTTCAGTCAAAACGTATCTACCAAGTAATACCTGGTGTGTAGACGAAAAAACGGATCGTTTTACTCGAACTGAATTATAGGCCAGTAAGCGATGATAAAAATAGGGTATTACCTCTGAATTCTTGACACCCGCACCGATTGACGTGAAATTTTCACAGTGAATAGAGAAATATGTAAGAAACAAAAGTTACATAGCAGCGATATGTGCTTTCACCCTGGGGGTGAGTGCCACCCCTTCCCGGGGGTGAAAAATAAATCACACAAAAAACAAATCAGAAATCATTAACTTATACCTACGTTTTCTAATTATTTTATCAACTAGTGAAAGAGAATATCCATTACACTCAGCTACATTCCTAATGTAATCTCTTTCTATTTTATATCTTTCGTTGGAAAGTGGAAAACTAAGTAATCTATGAATTAAGAAATTTAAACTAGCCATTTTATGTTCAATACTATGATATGATTCATTAGGATATATCTGCGTGTAGTGGTATTTTTCTTATAAATATCAAATTCCAGGCAATTATTAGTATTTCTATTAACTAATACATCTAGAAATGGTAATCTGTCGTTGTTCTCAATTTCATGTGTAAATTTAATGGAAGGAAAACGACTATTGGATTATTTAATTTAGAAATAAAATTATCTATGGTGTCTGAATGTGTGTCAAAAACAGCAAAAATATCATCCACATACCTAAACCATACTCTTGGAAAATATTCAAACTGATTCTTAGCCTCCACTTCAAACCTGCTCATGAATAAATTAGCCAAAAATGGAGACAATGGATTACCCATTGCTGTACCTTCACGCTGTTCAAAAGTTGTTATTAAATTAAGAAAACAATTTTGTTTCTTACATAACGATGTAAGCTCAATATATTCAATTACAGTTTTGTTCTCGAGACCATTGCGTTCAGTAATTCCTTCAAGTAGCCTAAAGTATGTGGAATTGGAACACTTGGGAACAACGAAGATACATCAAAGAGACCAAAAATTTCACCTTCATGCAATGTTATATTTTTAATTTTGTTAATGAATTCAATATTATTTTTAACTGAGAAAGAAGGTTCATGATTAGGTAAATTTTCGAACTCTCTTGATAACCATTTTGCCAAATTATAAGTCGGAGAACCTACAGCCGAAACAATTGGGCGCATAGACTTGTCCGGTTTATGAATTTTTTGCAGCGCATACAATTTTGGTAATGAGGGATTGGATACTTGCAATTTTTTTTCTTTAAAGAAAAATCAATAAGGCTGTTAGATTCTTTTAAAGTGTTTTTAACATCTGTTACCATCTTAGACAAAGGATTCTTTTTCAAGTTTATGTAAGGACCATTATCGATTAAGTTGTTAACCTTATCGTAATAGTTTTTTTATCTAATATAACAACCTAGGTTGTTATATTCATTTAGTTTTTGTGCAGCTTTGATAAAATCTATCTTTATCAAAGATCCACTTTTTGATTTGCTATCGTCTGATAAAAGTTGTCCATAGAAAGTGTCTGATACTTTTGATACTACTTATATAATATTTATACAAAAATCAACCATACAAATTTAAGTTAAGTAACTCTTAATTTTAGTTACCTTTCACATCCTGTATCTGCGAAGACGTCACAGGGCGAACTCCCCAAACACGCCGGTATTCAAAGCACATGAGAACACTACTGAGAGCCTTAAGGTTTCATCCTTGTGAAAATAAGTTATGTCAGATCGCTCTGGGATCGTGGACTATAGATATAAATTAAAGAAGCAAAATCGAAAAATGTGATAGAATAATATTAAGGATTTAGTGTGTATTCGTTACTTTGTGAACTTTATAACATTCTTTAATTTTATAATTTGACGCTTTCCGGGATAGCATAATGATTTTTCGAGGTCTGGAACAACTTACCTAAATCCGGGCGACTGGCAACACTACTGTACCCTCTAGGATCAATATTGCTACTGTAAATTATGAATGTGGAAGTGAACTTTTCTAGTACATGCCAATTTTTAGATGCTTATTGTTATTTAAATTGATAATTATACGCAAATATAACTACCCAATTCTTAGTCACTAAAATATTTCATTATTGTTATATAAACCAGAAAGATTTTATCTTGAATTTGCAGTGACTCCACCAAACATTTCTCTTAAAAAATCGCAAAACTTTCTCCAAACATATTTTTCGGTCAGATTCAAAATGACTCAGTAAATAAACCGAAAATACCTTCAAGTATAAGTAGAAACATATCTTTTACATCCTTTTTAGATAAATGACAGAAAATTGTGTTGAAATTTTTTGGGTAGGGAGGGTTAAGATACACATTTTAAAATGATTGTAGAATATACAGAGTGCTTCAAAAAAGTGTTGCGGATATAACATTTTTTTTTAAATGCTACACACCCTATTTTTTATTTTATTTTTTAAATTCTAATTATTATTATATTATATAATTATTGAGATAATGGACTTTACTCTATCGTTGACTCACCCTGTACAGAACAGAAATTTGTACAGGATGGAAAATTTAATGTATTACCCAACTACAATATTTTTTCGCGAAAGAATGAGTGATTGACTTTCGAGTCTTTTAAGAAATTTAAGAACCCCACTTTTTTAAATTCAACATAACGCGGTTTTCTCAAAAATACTGTTTTTTGCAATTATACGATTCAGAAAACCTGCAAATCCTGTATACCCTGTATAGAAAAATTTCTGTTTCAGGTTAACTCCAGTTTTAAGATGGAGAAAAGTGTATCATAGATTTAACTAAACGTTGCTTTCTTTTTTATAATCTCTGTCACCTTTGAAGGAATCTAATAAAGTCAGATCAATTCCAGGACATTACAAAAACCATTCGTCACTAGACAAAATTCACCAGGATACCCTTATATCTATTATTTTATTTTTATTTTGGAAGCCATTCAATACAATTGTATTTACCTACTTACCACCAAAAGATTAATTCCGAAATAAAGTTATTTTCCTAATAAATTTGATATTTATTGCATTTAAATTGTTAGTACTGATCCTATTCGATTAAAATCAACTCAAGCTTTAAACAAAGTGACATATTAATAAATCATTAAGCATTGCATTTGAAAATATAAAGCGAAAAGTTTGAAATAAAAGGAATGTATTTCAAAAAACAAAAGGAAAACCCTAATAAACAAAATGTATATTTCTTTAAATCAAATAGGCAGCATTTTTATTCTAAATCTGATATACCACTAACAATGACAATGATCGTTTTATGATATGTTTTATATGTACGAGTATATGCATAAAATCAATAGATATCTTATTAATTCAATTATGACCATTAATGAAGCCAAAACATGTTTGATTTTATTTGATTCATTAGCATTATTTTTGAGTTTACAACGTTTTTTCTCTCAGTGTAGCGTTTCCGGAACCGGAGCTGTTTTTCGGAACCGGTAATTTCGGTACCATGCC